AGAAGCTGTCAGAGTTCGGCGTGCAGGTTCGCGAACGTAGATATTTTCCGGGGTTGAGAGCTGCATTTAAGAGGAGCTTTAGTACGAGCTCTCTTGCGCATTCATTGTTTCAAGCAGTGTTGATGTATCTTGGATCTACAACAAGACTTCGAGCATGCGATACCATTCTGACCATATGGACGAGGTCCTCAAGGTTCACAGAAGTTATGATCACGTGTTTCCGAGGCTTTCAAGTTTGTGTTCTTGGAATCGATGGTGTCGGAGCTCTCAAAAAAAAGAGCTCTGTTTGTCCTTATTATCTATTTCAGATCTTTTAAGCAACACGATATCATGGTTCTCTTGGTTTGAATTGCTGGCTTGTTGGCATGTCTGCTTGAGCGTTTCAGTCAGTGCTTTGTTGTTGTGCAAACCCCCCTAATCTTTTTGTGGCGTTTGCGTAAGTTGCTTGGCTGCGACGATCGGCTTGTGCGAATCCCGAAACCTCAATGAGCGTCACACTCTCAGCTCCAAAGCAGCATCGCAAAAATGCCTGAAATCGTTTTATTGAGAGCCTTTCGAAAGGACAGCGCCCACGTAGGCCTTTATAGGGGAAATGTGCTGAACGCTGACAGCACGCAGAAGTAGTAAGAGCCAAAGCGAGCACTCAACTTCAGAGCCATCGTGCGAGTTGATGCCAACAGCCGTGGCATCGGGATCCTGATGATTACGAGGCATGAGTAGCCTTAAGCCCGACCTGAACTGTCCGAGGCCCAACACTTGATTCTGAAAACCCGAAGTACTGTTTCTTTGTACCACAGTCTCAGCAGTGGATTCACGGACTTGGCGTGAGACTGCATGCCTTTTACGTGTTCCAGGCAGATTTCAACCCTGGGAATTAGGAAGGGCAAGCTCGCAAGCCCAAAGCCCGAAGCCTAAACACCAACCCTAAACCATGAACCCTGAAACCCAAGCCCTGAAAACTCCTAAACTTGACACGGAAAGTCGAAACCACAAACCCTAGAAACTCCAAAGCCCTGCTCCGCTGGTGTGTTCAAGGATCTGGCCATCTCCGCTTGGGCGCTGGCTAAAGTCCTATTTCCCAACCGGCGACCGTTCCTGACGGTCCTCCACGAAGCTTTGGGGCCTTTGGGGTCTAGGAGAGCTTGAGGTTACGTGATGGCCGGTGATCTTGATAGAATTTGACAGTTTTGGTTCAGGGCTGTTCGGGGCTCATAGAGCTTTGGATTTTGGATGTGGGCTTAACGGATTCGGGTTTTGGGGCTTTACCTTTTTGCGCTCCGAGCTTGGGCTACGGAGGGCTTAGGCATTGGGTTGATTATGATTCTTTGACTTGCAATTGGGGTTTAGGAATGGGGGGGGGTTCCGGATGGTTAGAGGTCTTCGGAATTACCCTCCCCGAGCCAACTCGGGGGCCTTTTCAAATCAGCATGTAAAGCAACACCGTGCCATCATGTCTGTCTCCAGGGAAATGACAGGGCCTGCGATGTTTCAGGCACAGCGCCTGGTAATGGCTCTGACGGTTTCCTGAGTTTGGAGCAGAATAGAAAGCCTGTCATCTGGAGAGTAGGGCTTTGGTGTGGGATGGGAAGAAGATTCGCAGAACATCCCCCATGGCTGGACACAGATAAGCACTTCTTCAAACACACACCAATTTCCAAAGAACCGTTCGGGGCATCCATGCTAGTTTGGGGAAGGTAGTTGTTAGACGTGCTATCGCGTGATGCCCCTGCAATGAAGGCACCAAATCCATAGCCCTCAGCACATTGAAAAATCCCAACGCCATGTTCCCCATCTCCTCCTAAACACCTAAATAATCTGTAAGCCCAAAAGCCTTGAGCCCCATACCCCCTAAAACTATGTTCCTTGACATGTTCAGTTTATAAGATGCCAAATCATCAAGTCCAAAACCCGCAGGCTCGAGGTACCAGATTGTGGGGAAGCATGTGAGGATCAGATCCCGTAGGGGGTACGAAACATGAAGCCAAAAGCCCCTGTACCCCAAAAGCCCTGGCCGCTACAGGCCAACCTTAAAAATCCAGACGCGCCTCGAATGCCTTTCTTCCTTGCTTGAGTGCTCCCCAACCTTTCCCAAAATAGTACTACTATGCAAACTAGAAATAGTAATAGCAACAATTTTTGCAAAGGAAATAGTAATACTAGACAATGATAATAGTAATAGTAGTAATATAGGGGAATGGAGGTCTTGTGAGCATGTCCAGCCAAATGGCTTATGGTGTTCGGCATTTGGGCAGCGTCTTAGTAGTCCTTAGACTTAGAAGCCTTGACACCCAATGTAGCCAGCAATCTGCACTCTCAGCCTCAACTGTTTAAAGCTAAAGTTCTGGCCCTGCACCTGACTGGCAGGCCATTGCTGTGGAATCCACGAAGAAGCTCAAGGCCGCACGTTTCCGCCATGCTTTGGGCTACAATCATTACCAACAGGATGGATCATGGAAGTTGGATGATTTACGCGACTTTCCCCTATTCCTAGGTCTGGGGTAGATGACTCCTAATGTTCCTCTGTCTGGCCTCTACCCGGTACGCCTGCGAAATTGTTGCTACCACCAGTTCTGGAGGCAGCATTTTTTTTTTACAAATTGCATTTTGCTGATACCACTTCAGAGTTGTAAAATGCAATGCATTATGCTTCAGGACCTGAGCGCTCAAAGGGCGCCATGCGTGAATCCTTGTCTCGTTGCACAAGGGAAAAATAGTAACTTACCAAGACTAGCTCTGCACATTTTTAGGGTATGGCAATCCAGAGGTCATAGGAGGGGAAGCGGTTGTCTTGATCTGGGTGCTTATACATCCTCTCTCCCCAAACTCGAATCCTCAACAGCAAAGTTGGTACGCTCATCGATCCCTTCCGCCATGACAACTGATGTAAGGAGTTCGGCGGCAGAAACTTGTCAAGTCTTTCTTGGGCTGGACCCTCAGCGCAACAGGAAGGGTTTGGGAGTTTCTCAACGTCCTCTCTTCAGAATCTATAGAGGAGCCAGGTTTGAGAATATGAGAGGCCTACCCCCAGGGCTCCAAGGGACCCACATTGTCTAGGGTTTCAGGTAGGGCTTTGGGTGCCATGTGCTAAACAATTCTGAATAGATTTCATTTGAGTGCTGGAACCCCAGCGGGTTTAGGGTGTAGATGAAGCCAGCAAAAATCCTCTGCAGACATGATATGCCAAAGTGCATAGGCGAGCTCGGGCAGTTCAGGGTAGAGAGATTAGGATGGACACAGACATAAGAGAGTTGGCAGCGGCCCACCTGCAGCTACATGACGCCAACATTAGAAGCATGAATTGAGGATTACGGGGTCATTATTTACATCTGATGTCTTCGAATGGGGTTCTCAAAAAGTTTAAAGATCGTTGCCCTGACCTTTCAGACTTATAAGACTGATATCTAGAGGCTAGAGTTGTGTCTGAGCCATCAACGAAGTTGTGAGAACAACCTAATTCATGCTCTTGCTTTGCGACAAGCATAGGTGATAAAACACAAACGACAGCAAGACCCCACTTCTATGAACTCCCCTCTCCTCCCCATGCTATGACAGGAGGTTTGATACGGGATGTGCATCCAACATTGGCAGAACAGATCCGAGTTGGTTTTGGACCTAAAGGAACCAAGTGCCCAAATTTGAGGGCGCACCTTTTGGAGTGGATTTCTCTAACGCCAGAAAAGTTGGGTCCTTGGGGCCTTCTAGAGGGGTGCATTCCACCGGCCTCTGCAAAGACAGGCTGCACCTTCGATCAAGCATCATAATTCTGTTTAAGGTTCCCATAGGACCCCATAAGCTGCTCACAGTCCATAGGGGCAGCAAGGCCACCCATGTTGGGAAACCGACTTGGTCAATTTGCAGTTCGGTATGGTACAGGAAAGGTTGCTGAAGGTGGTGTCAGGGATCGACTATTCGGGCTGGTGCCGGGCACTGTTTTGGATGCGTGTTACGCTCGGTCTACGGCTCAAGAATATTTTCCCTGCCCGTTGAGGCTGTCAGGACTCTGGCTTTCTGGGGTCTATTTGTAGTTGTGCCTTTTGCTCTGTAATCCTTAGAAACTGTAAGATTTTTTATGTACGGAACTATCGCTTGTTTGTCTCCGTGTGGCCAAGGCTCGGGCAGAAGCTGAAACCAACAACCGGTCATCTGAAGCCTAAACAAGATCATTGCAGCCCAAACACGAAACTGGCTCAGCATGAAAACCCAACCATGCCACTCTGAGGCCCACAACTTAAATCCGAAGCCTTAAACCCTTCAACCTACAAGCAGCGTCCCAGACGCCGCCCGAGTACCATGCTCCACCACGTCACATGCAACCATGGCAAGTGGTTGAACATCCATTCGTCCGAAAACTCTGGAAGAGCTTTCACGTTTGCATTCTAAACCCGGTTATAGGCCTTAAACCCAGCTTACCGCTGCTGTCATGGACTTTGTGTGGTTTCTGGCGCTCATCTGCGCCGCCTTGACTGCTGTCACATCGGCGCTTTTGTTCTTCGTCAGCTCGCATTATTCCAGAATCTCGAAGGGTGTTGTCCGATATTTACAGACAGTCCTTGGCTCTAACGTTGAAGGTACGCACGGGTAGTAGCAATGGTTGGCATTGTTTGTTGTTTTTTTGCTTCATCCTCTCCATTTGTTGGATGTTCTGGGATGCGCTCCTGCTCGCTGGCAGTGTTCGCTGCCACTACTGGACATTCAGCGTCACATGAGCAAACACGTTAGCATCCAATGCTCATTTACTGGACAATGAACTTTGATTGTCTTTCTTATCTCTATTCCGAGGTTGGTCAACGCTTCCAGGGTTGTGCAACCTCTAAGACCCTAGTAGTGCACCTTGGCGAGGTTCAGAGAACTGGGATCGGATTCAGAAGCCAGAGCTTGCATTATGCCCTTGTTACTAGAATTTAACTATAAACACGTACGATGCAATCTTCCAACTGCTGGGCTTCTACAGCCTAATCCTACTCTAAATTTCAGACCCCACAGTATTGCCTTGCAACGAGGTTCTTCGTGGACGCTGCGAAGCTCTTTGCGTCCTACCGTGCGAGCGACGCCCCTCGAAAGCTTGCCGCTGGAACTAGTTGAGGCTTTGGTGTGGTTAATTCAGGTGTTTCCCAGATCGGGGTGCCCATCAGTACCCAAAAAACAGAGAATCCTTAAAAAGGAGACCGATCCCTCTTATGTTGATGATCCTCACTGCTTCCCAACGCAGAAACCTTGAACACCTACAAACCTGGCGGTCCTAATTGTTCAGATTTCGTTGAATCTGCAGCCGCTCATCTACCGCTATAGACCCCAATATCTGCACAAACCATGCTGACCTCACCCAACCTCACCCCAAATGTTGGACAAGACAAAGGTATTTTTCACCAGATATTGCTTTGGAATATATTGTAATTCGCCAGAACTTGAGCCAATCCGTTTCCAGGATGTGACATTTGAACCTATATGCTTTTTTTATCCCGCAGCAGGTCTGTGACGCGGCAGCTGTCACGCCCCTCAAGCCTTGACCCTAATTCTTAGGTGTCTAGACCTGAAACCTGAAATGCCTAGCCGCATTGCCAAGCCCTGACTGCTACCCTCTCAATCCCGTTCATCCTAGGCCTATTTCCTTCGCATCACGCCCTGCTACGACGGACTTGTCCAGAACCTCGATCTTTTATGGGAATCCGGGATTTGCAGATCTGGTTGGGGTAGTCAGGAATTGAGGGTAATGGTTTGAGGTTGCACTTGAGTGCAGGGCATTGACCACGGGTCTGAGGAACCATGTAGGCAATGAGAAGAAGCTGTTGCAGCTACCAGCCAGCTTTCCCATCTTAAACATGCAGGTCGGCAGTTTGAAGCGTGTGTTTCAGGTGTGTAAATGCTGGCATCGGCTCTGCAGCTTCCCGCAAACTCTTCAACCCTGCACGGCTCCCTCAGCGTTCCTTCACCTTAAGGCTTTGAAATCGGCAAGCCCGGAGGTTACAACGCTCTCTAGATGCAGGTGCGCCCTCCCCCGGCCCAAACCTAAATAGCTCTGAAGCCCTTCGCTCCCGCAGTCTGGTCCCAGGAGCATAGACACTTATAGTTACCAGGTCATCCCAAGCATTTTCTGTTTGGCACTCGTTTCTATTCAGGGAGCCCACTAGCCTTGCCATTGTCCATAGGAGCTTGCATGCCTTTCTGACCACAGTAGAAGTAAAGTCTGCAGTCTGCGCTACACATTTTCAATCTATAGAATCGCTTCAGCCTAAGCCCGCGACTGCCGATCCATGCCTTCTCTCCTTCATCCTGACTGTTGCCTAGGACTCCCTCACAAAACAGGGGTAGCCTAGCGACGACCCCAGGGATATGGGATAGAGGTGGGACGGCCCAGGCTTGCAAGCTCCCAGCTCAACGAGGCTCAATCAACTTTAAAGCCTGGGCACTAAGCCCACCTAAGCCCTAAACCTTAAATGGTTGTTTCCATTTTCTTTTCCATTATTACATGTATTTGTTGAAAAACCTTAAACAGTAGCTTCCATTGTCTCTTCCATTGTTACATATAACTGTTTTGCGAGCTGTGTTGAAAAACCTAAATAGCAGCTCCCATGTTCTGGTTAACCTTGCATTGTTACATATAATGTTCTTTGTCGAAGAAAAACTAATAGTAGTTTCCTTTTTCTTTTCCAATATAGCCCAATAAACAGCACTAACTCAGGAAGTTCAAGTGCCACAGCGTTGCAGCAGATGGTGAGCTGCGAGGGCAGATTGCTGCTGAGGCTGCGAAGATCACGACGAGATGTGTGTAAGTTTTTGGGTTTGTAATTGTAGGCTTGGGGTGTAGGATTTCGGAGGTCGAGGGTTGGGGCCTTTAGGGTGTATACGGCCTTAGGCTTTTCAGGGTTCAGGTTATCGGCAGTACTGCTTTTGGGTTTAGGCTGTCCCGGCTTTTCGAGTTTTAGAGTCTAGGCTTTCGTGTTGTTTCTTTGTGGTTCTTTTGCAAGCATGGGTCCAGTTTTGCTGGTGATCGAGGGCTGTATAATGCTTCTAAAGAAGGAACCCCGAACTTCGAACCTGAACCTAGTCAATCCAACCTACAGCTTACATCCTGAACCGTAAGCCAAGCCTCTGAATGCCAAACTGTTTAACCCTGCCATCTGAACCCTGCATCCTAAGCCTTGGAGCTATACACCCGAATCCTTAAACCCTTAAGCACTCTAACCCTGTACACTCCATGGAGGCGCCCTTTTTGGCGGAGACTGGACTCCTGGAAGAGAGTGCAGTAGCTCTACTGCTGGCAGCCCGGTCCTGGATTGGTGTGGTGTATGAGGAGTTTCGGGGTTTAGGTTTTTGTGGTTTCAGAGTTTAACAGTTTATGGCTTTGGCGTTTATCACGTTGAATGCAAGCCTTGTCAGGACTGAGGTTAGGGCTTACGACGGATAATGGTCGCGGAAAAGGTTCCCACCAGCGCAGGATGCAGGGTTTCTCGGCATGCAGGGCTTTAGGGACTGTAATGTGGGGTGGAAGGCCGGTATCGTCGGAAATTCCACTTCTCACATAAACTGTGTGGGGCACGGGCTGAGGGTGGCCAGAACTCATCCAACGCGTCAAAAAGCGTCCCATGTAGCCTCCTTCTGTGAAGGGACCACTGTGCTTGTGGGGCCAGTAATTATGGGTGCTCCAGGTTAGTTTGGGCTAGCATAGGCTTAGGGTGTGTGGAGTGGTGAGCAGAGTTCAGGCTTAAAGCCCTCTTCCTTGGGAAGTAGAATGCCTATACTCCCAATGGGGCCCTAGGGCTTGGCATTAATTATTGGTGTGTTAGGCTTGAGTTTTGTTATAAGGCTAAGGGTCTCAATTTGGTGCCTGAAATCACAATAGTTGCGCCCTTGTACCCTCAAGCTGTACATTACAGCTCAAAACAAGGCTTGTGCCCTGACGTCAAATATTTTGCTGAGGGCGTGGTACTTCTACGTAATCACCGAAGAAAAGACAGAAGCTTTCAACAAATTCGCCACAACCTGAAAAGCCGAAACCCCGACATGCATTGAGAAGTCAACCAGTTATACAACATGGCAAGGCTTCCTTCTAAATTGTATTCAGGACTGGGCAACTCTTCGGCTGGCCAGCTGCCGAAACCTTTAACACCCAGTAGACCCCATAAGGACCCCCTGGCCCCCTAGCCCTTAAGCTTTAATAAACCCTGCACCCCATAAACCGTAAGACCCCTGAACCCCAGTCAGTCCAAGGATAGCTTGACTGGTTTTGCACTGTGGGCTGCTGGCTACGAGGGTCTCTTGCAGTTTGTGCTAAGCACAGAGAGGGCACAGAGTTTCTCAAAATCTGGGCCTTGCTGGGGTATTTGTTGGGAAGGTTGTATCCTGACGAGACTATCTGCGGAATCTGCGGTGAAGAGGTTGGGGCGTGGGGGTTCAGGCGCTCAGGCCCCAGATTCTGAGGGCCATTAGTTCAGGATTCTGGGATGAATGAAGGATTAAAACACAATACCTCAGGGGTGGGTCTCAGTGGTTTATGCTACCTGGACGCCAAAACGCACACAAATCAAGAGCAACTTTGGCCAGTGCCAGGAACTTGTGCAAACTTTTTGAGACGTGCCAACAAAAACATACATTTTTCGCGCGCAGGCCAACATGAACAGCAGGGTCCATTTTTGTGAACGTACAGTGAATATGCATGAGCGTGCCGTGAATAGGCGTGAAAGTGCCGTGAACATGCGTGAAATATTGGAGGAGCAGCGTCAAGTTTTCTCATCACGTTGTAGAAATCGTCAACCTTCAGCCAGATGCCTTTTTGTTACACCGGGACTCCAGGTAATGCTTAAAGCAACGATGAACAGAGGATATGTGAGGCGTGGGACAGTGCTCTTCACCCGGAGTCTCATACATAGCCATAGTGGGGTCCCGGGCTATTTTTTGGTGAGAAATCCAACACGCCATCCATGACCCAGAAGGGAACTACACATAAGATTTTGGGCAAGCACTTGAATTTGCATGTTCAACGCCAAAAAACCTAGGCCAAGACTTCAGAAGAACGATGCCACTACCCGCACGCTGAAAAAGCTCAGCTTGCCGGTCTGATATCGCCTCAATCCACCATGCTGTTTTGCCGAAGCCCAGAAAGCCTCACCACCCTCAGTTGCATGCTATACACCCATGAAGTATACCTGTTTGAGGTAATTAGGTTTGAAGGAGGGCATACGATTTGCCGGGAACTCCCTGTCCCTGATGTCTGCATCATCATCTGCTGTAAAGAAACGCACGGTTACAAGAAGAAAGATACAGGGAGCTTGCCAAATTGGAGTGCAATGAACTAGGTACCTCAAAATGTGACCAAATTTCAAGAATAGCCCCCACAACAATCATGGCCAAGATGCATAGCTGCCAAGCGGTTGAGGATCCAGAAACTTGCGGAGGAGCAAGTGAAGACTATAGTCAGTTGTGATACATGTCTATCGGTAGGCGATCCTCTTATCTTCGAATGTTTAACAGTTATAGCGGCGATTCAGGGGCATGTTGGATCTTTGTTGCAAAGGCTTCGTCACAGCCGAGTTGACTTTCAAAGTCCATAGAACAGTGCCTCGTCAGCAGCTGGAGTGGTATCATAGATCCAGGTTTCAACCACCCGTCAGGGCAAAGGGCTTCGGACTTGCAGTTGGCAGTGTGCTAAAGGGTGAACAAAGCGAGTCCTTGGGTTGTGATCAGCTAAAGTGTGATCTTCTTTGGACATATCCCCAGGCCCCATGACCGACCCGGAGACTAAAGCAATAAATACCTGTTCTCCTAGCCCTAATCTCATAGAGTACAGGAATGCGCTTGGAACACGTTTCTGACAGATAAGCCTTGAGAATAGATGCTGAAGCCACGTTGACATCTGGCAACTTCTTGGGGCTCTGTTCCCTTCTTGAATTTTTTTCCCCCTATGTTCCCGTTCGCTGCTGCTTATACTGGTAAACGACCCTACGACCCCAGAAGAAACTACAAAGGAGCCAGCCCTGAGATGCCCTGAACTTGGAGCCAAGACCACCATTCTGCTTACCTCAGGTTAGAAAAGGCGACGAGCTGTTCGTCCGGGCCTGGCTGAAGCAGAGACCGACCATCCCAGAGGACAAGCGCCTGAGGGAGCCTCCAGCAGCAAGCAGGGCTTGGGGTGCTCGCGCGGATTCAGGGATTTTGTTTTTGTGATTTGGGGGTTTGGGACTAAGGGTTCCAAACTTGTTCAGTGTTCAAGCCTAGGATTCAGGATACATCCGCTCCGGGTTATTCAGCGGTTTAGGATTTTCTGGTTCTTGCAATCTCGGCGTGCATGTCCCAATGCCCTTCAGGCCCTAATTAATCCTGAAGCAAAACCCTGAAGTTCCACAGTCTCTCCTTGACAGCAATCTTGCATAATTATCATTCCCATACTATTATGCACGACGATGTTTTCTTGAAAACAAACGGCCTTCCAAAGTAAAGCCCAGCCTCCTAACACCCCAAACCCTAGACCCAAACCCCATACCACATACACTAAGCTCGATAGAGGTGGCTGCTACAAATTTAGGAGCCCTTTTCCTGGGTTCGTTTACAATCCTTTCTGTCAAGGAATCCTCGGTACTGGGCTTTGAGCTTTTTGCGCCGCAGCCAGATCAGGAGAGTTTCGCGGAGGAGGCCCGCAAACTTGAGGAACCCTACATTAAGGGATTCAGGGGTTAGGGTGCTCAGGTTTTAGGCTTGCAGTGTTTGGTAGTTTGGAAGTTAGGAGATGGTAGGCTCCGCGGTCGAGACTGAGCCACCATTGCCTGCAAATTTGTCGGTCCGGGCTGAGGCCTGGGGATGAATCGTCAAGTACAAGTGGCTCTTGTATGCAGGATAGCCAAGAGAGCCATTCTTCGCACCTAATGAAGAAGAATTCAATCAGCGCCCTAAAAGCAACACCTAGCCCTGCATGAATCCCAACACCTGAGCACATGCTAAATGCAAGCACCATATAAGTCTAACCCAACAAACCTCCCGCCCTCCGGGTGCGTAATCCGAGTCGAGCTCCACATCTCTTAGCAGACGAGCGACAGGTTGATTCGTGCTCGCCACATGTCACTCACACGTGACCCTTATGGTTTGTGCCATGGCAAATCAAGGAGGATTTTTGGGTGTAGAGTTGGCAGTGAGAGCGTGCTTGAGCTGTAGGCATTGGTGGCCTCTGGGGAGCAGCTGATGCTGATCCTGGGTTGCATGGAAACTTCGCCGCTGCCCAAAAGCCCTCTCTTTGTTTTATACAGGGGTTGTGGTGTTAGCTGCATGGTTTACACGAAGAGTGGATGCCTACATACGTGAATTGCTGTGCACGCCTGAGAAGTTTAGCGTGTTATTCAAGCAGATGACCTGAGGAGCATTGCATCGCGTACGCAGCGCTTTTTCTGGAAGCTGCAGCTGCCACGGCTATGTTGGGACAATTTTTGTTGAAGCACGGGTCCCGCAACTTTAGCTCTTGGGGACGCATGAGGTTTGGTGTTCGGGGTAGGCTTGTGTTGTCCGCTACACCTTTCTGCGGACAGGTGTCGGATTCAAGATGAGCAGTACTTCCGACTTCACAGAAAACGGATTGCTAGCTGCACATATATTTTAGATGTCCAGGCGGTCAACCCCCAATCTTCCAAATCCTGATTTCAATTTGCCTTCAACCGAAAGCAAAAGAGACTGCAAGTCGCCACCCCCGCACACCAGGCCAGTACAGATCTTTGCTGACATGTTCTTGGTGACTGCGCCTCTACGCGCGCGTGCGTTTCTGCATAGTTTTGCTGCTTCCTGTTGTAGATGATGCAGGGGCGGGGGGAGGGGGGAAGAGGTGTGGACAGGGGTAGGGGGGAGGGGGCAGGGGTAATTGCGCCGTGAGGACCGCTTGTCACACAGCAGTTTGGCCTCACAAAAGGTCTTGTTTTCGGTGTCTTCGCACCATGTTTACGATAAGCTGCGACAGCACGGGGTCTCAACAGTTGCGCGCCCAAACAAACGGCCAGTAAAAAGCTCCGCTGCGACAGCACAATGTTTCAACCACAGGTGCTTGATGACGTGTGGCAAAGCTTGTGGTGCAAGGCCACAGGCACTAGGAAGCTCCTAAGCGAGCTTGGACAGCTTGCACAAGCTACGTGAACGAAAACGCCGTTTTCGCCATAGGCCCCGGGCTGCAAAATGCGCTCGAAACTACAGCAAAATGCTCAAAATCAGACGTCGGAGGGGTACCTTACATTGTTTTTGTTCCCTGAAAAAACAACCTTTTTCATGCAAATGAGGGTTTTTTCCATAGTTTTGCGCGCATTGATTTCAGATCTCCGACACAAAGATGCCTCTGCAATTGTCCAGGGGTTAGCATATCTTCTACATACGCTCCCCAAAAGGGCTTTTCAATGTCCAAACGTTTGTACCATGGGCTTCTATGTGCTGATCCCTGAATCCGAGGCTTTTATGCCCGCCCTTCTTGGACTGGAAGTGGAAGATGGGCATGAAGGTGCTCGGGACCATCAAGGTTCAGGGTCTAGGGGCTCAGGATAGCTTTGGGACCCTAGTCATCAGAGGGCGTGCCAGGGTGAGTCCACACAGGTTTCAGGCCTTGCGGCAGGGCTGAACCAGACTAATCCCATCCTAATCCGTACACCTTTTAGATATGCAAACTGGGCCCATGAACCTACGCACCTAAACGCTAAAAACACGCTCAATGCTCTGGGATTTAGGTTTCGAGCACGTCGTTTCTCGCCTATTAGAAACAATAGTCGAATTGCCCTTTAATCCTCACGCGCCTTCATTTGTTTATAGCTCAAAAGGCTTTGAGGATTAGAGCTTCGAGTGCAGGGTTTTGTGGTCGAGTGTGCCCAGTTTGGCTTCTACGGGGCTTTGGGGGAACGTGGGTCCAGAGTCCATGGTATGTCGCAGCAAGGAGGCTCAATTTCAGGCGCTCCCGGTAACGAGCAGTGAGGCCACTTGGACTTTTGTGCAGCAAAAATTGTAGGAAAGGCTTTGGTTTTCGAACCCAATTTCGAGGGCTCCCACCAAAGGTGCTACATCATACATATAGTGCACGTCTGCTACGCAATAGTACTGCTGCTGGGGTATGGTGTATGGGATGTGGTTCGCCTCATGTCAGCAAGCATTGGTCCTTGTAGGATGCTTTCATGTTGTCCAACTGCCCCTGATATGCTTGCAAAGACTAAGAACAGCATATTGCAGACTCCTGAGTAATTAGCAACGTTATTCCCTACAAAACTCCACCAAAACTCCCTATCACATCATTGGCAAAATACACCCCAAAGCCCTGATCAAACTATCTTGGCCAGCACATTACAGGTTCTGGACTCCTTCAACAAATATTCCAAGCCTTTCTCTGAGATCAGGCAGAGTTGCACAGCTGTGTTTTCCTTAGATTAGGGCGCTCCGGATCTTATTGGGCCGTTTCCAGAAAATTGGTGTCTCATTTTGGGAGTCTCATTTATGAGGAGTTTTGCCTAGTGCGTTTTGGGAGTATAAAGGAAGGCCGCAATTGTTGGGAAATGTTCATAGTTCTATTCCTCGAAGTGGGGTTCCCTTGGCAATCCTGGGGTACCCAGAAACTATCCCCATAAAGGATGCTGGGGATCATTGTGTTATTGTAACAATTCTCAGGTGCAATTTCTTCGGCAATCTGACAATTCCTCACTACTAGTGCTCGTGTAGACAACGTAGGCTTCATAGGTGGTTTGAGAACTGGATGGCAGTGATTGCTTAGTCCTGCTTAGTTCATGAGTGGAATGCATACGGAGGGGTGCAAGTCTGGGGAAAGGGCTTGTTGAGTTTGCGCTTGGTTTGTTCTTTCTGGAACAGGGAATTCGGGAAAACAAAGAAATCTAATTCCGGAAGTCTACTCACCACCAAAGAATCCTTGCGCGAATATGTTATCAATGATTGAGAATCGTGTTTTCCTGCACAGCTCACAGGGCTTTTAGGGCCTACTGTTTCTATCAAAGTCGCTGGAGTTAGCAAGGAAACTGGGGAGAGGAAAGGCGCATAGGGCTGTCCAGAATCTGGGACCCCCTGCATGGGAGTACCTATGACATGGATACACGTGCTTTGGGTTTCTTTGATGCCGACTCCTGGAAATCCGAAGCCCAAAGCCTTTGGAAGCGGGTCTTAGCTCAGCTTTCATGTCCAAGGGTGTAGTTAAGGGAGCTACTTTGCACAGACTGGTCATGTCTTGTGACAGGCTTACATACCCTCATCGTGCGTCCGCTGAATTCAGTCATAGAACCTTCAAACCCTGGCCCCGTTTCGGCTTGAAAGATTAGACCTCAGATCGAAGGGACGAGGATTTGGGGGTTTAAGTTTATCTAGATTAAGGGTTTCGAGTTGCGTGCAGGGTGATAATCCTGGTTGACACCCATCTCGCCATGCTGCCTATAGGTCTTCTGTAAGCTTTGTTGGCATGGTTATTCCGCGCAACTCTCGGTACTGTACTTGTTTCTGTTGTTCCGGCTCGATGCAGTATACCTGTCTTAAACATGTCTTGTATGATTTTGCTGTAGGATTTTCCAGAAACTCTGGGTCCTTGATGCATACCATGCTGGGCGACCCTGATTTAGAGAGATGCCAGAAACCCCAGAGTCGACACATTAACCGTACACCCTCACAACCCCCAAACCACAACCCCAAACTCGACACCCCGACCTTGAGCTTCAACCTTATCTTTCTTAAGCCTGGATAAGCTTTGACCCCAATCCGTACACAAAGCCGCAGGAGCATTGACGAGCTCCTGGACCTAAAAACCAAGGAGCTTGGCCTCTACGAGACGTCAATGGCTCCGAGGTATTGCCCTGGGCAAGGTCTTCAGGGTTTACAAGGTTGTGCCCCTGCCCCGGAGAAACCAGAACAACACTCACCATAGAAAAGCAAGCATGCTTGTCATCAGTGTTATGCTCTTACTGTGTGGTTGTTTCTGATAGTTGGCGTCTTTTGCTTTTGGGAGCTTTTCCCGATGCTGCAAGGGTGATTCAGGACTCATCTTGTGGGGCTAGTTTCTGTTCATCCAATCTTCCACGCATAGTTCTAAAGCCCAAGAGTCTTCCATAGCATTTGTAGGGCTTTCACATTTGAGGATGCTTAGGGTTCCATGTTTTTTTTCAAATTTCAGCGTTAGAGGAGAGGCCATACGATCTTCAATTTGCAGCCGGTTGCTGATTAATTACAGCCCTAGGCCTTGAATGAATCTAGGCCCATTTAGGTGCACGTGTAGGGCTTTGGATCTTTGATGTCTGGGCTGAGGGTTCCGGCGTAAAAAATGTTCAGCTCTAATGCAGGAGAACCCTCACGGTTCTCCTGCCTGAGTAGTTCCCAAACACCTTAGCCAGCCCAAAGCCCCAATCTGAAACCGCGAAGCCTGAAACCTCGAAAACTAATCGCGAATCGTTAGACTCGTTCGAAACCCTGAATCCCCTAACCTTCCCACCCTAAGCCCGTTTCCCTCCACCGCAACCAGGCTCCTCAATGTCATGGGCGTTGGGCATGGCGCGGCAACGGCCGCCCTTCTCTGCCCCGTGGCTTTAAACCGGGCTTGAAGGATCTAGAGGTCCTTTCGGTACATTTTTGCGGTCCCTACAATCAGGATACGGCAGTATTGTCTCAAAAAAAATTAGCGATGCTCGTATTCTTGGTGCAAAATGGCTAGCGTAGTTACTCACATAGTCCCCCCGTAGGTCAAACAGATTCTGCTCCCAGATCGAAGGTGTTCCAGACAGTTACGCTCCAGGCCCTCACAAGCCTGAAATCCCGAAACCCGCTAAACACTAAGCCATGAAACTGCAAACTTCCAAACCTTGC